ATGTCGTTATCGATCTCACAAGCGATGTCGCTATCGGTCTCACGATCGATGGGACCATCAATTCCACTATCGATCTCACTCGATCGATCTCACTATCGATCTCACTCGATCAATTTCACTGTCGATCTCACTCTGGATCTTGCTATCGATCCCACTAACGATCTCCCTATCGATATCACTCGATCTCACAATCGATATCACTATTTATCTCACCATCGATCTCACTATCGATTTAACGATCGATCTCACTATCGGTCTCTCTGTCGATCTCACTATCGATCTCACTATCGATTTCGTCATCGGTCTCACTCTCGTTTTCGCACCAGCGGGACACCGGGACACCTGCGGGACACCGGCGGGACACCGGCGGGACACCGCGCGCCACCGCTTGCTGGTGGGATAATCATTTGGTCCAGCCGGGGCCCAGCCACAAGCGGGACACCAGCGGGACACGGGCGGGACACCGCGCGCCACCGCTTACCGGAGGGAGAATCATTTGGTCCAGCCGCGCTTCAGCCACAGGAGATTTTCCTCTCGCCCGCCCACGCAGCTTCGCCTCGCCCGCACGCACGGCACGCACGAACACGAAACCGAAACCGATTTCCCGGAGGGGGACTCTCCGTTCCTCTTCGATCTCACCCCCCAACCTCCGATAGCCCTATAGCTCTATGTGCCGATAGCCCTTATGGACCTATAGCCCTATAGCCTCATAGCCTCATAGCCTTATAGCCCTATAGCCCTATAGCCTATAGCTCTATACGCCTTTAGCCCTATAGCCCTATAGCCGTATGGACCTATAACCCTATGGTCCTATAGCCCTATGGCCCGATGGCCCCATAGCCCTACAAACATTCGGATGGTTTTTTTCCTGGCATCACATACGTATATCTAGTGGCCTTCTTCACATCCTGCCACCGTGCTTGGGTGGTGGTTCCGAGGCTTCTCGGATGCTTGTTGGGGTTTCTTTGCGGGCCCTTCGGGAGATTCTAAGATGGAGTTTCGGGGTGCCGGGGGCCTCTCGGGAGCCCTTCTGGAGCCTCAGGGGGTTCGATTTGGGCCTCCTGGCTCGAGGGCCTCCTGGGGCGTCTGGGGGGCATCCCGGGGGGCCTGCTGGCGGTTAGAAGTGACTCGAGTGGCACCACTCGAGCACCGCTTGAGCCATCTCGATTGCCAAGGGAGATCTAGCAGCCATAGTGGGGTAACGCCGCCTGGTGCAGGCATAGCTCAAGCGATACCACTCGGGAGCCATATGGTTTGTAGAAGTAGGAGTCCAAGCGTCAGTGGCAGTGGTCGATGGAGTACACACGGCCCAAGGGGTACGACTCGAGTCCCACTCTGGTTTCACAGTCTGCGGACGGAGAAGTTGCAGCGGTAGGAGTAATGGCAGTTGGAGTACATATGATCCAAGTGGTACCAAAGTGACTGAGTAGTAGACCAGAGGCCGCTTGACGGCATCTTCGCGTTTTTTTTTTTTTTTTTTTTTTGTTTGTGTGTGTGTGTGTGTGTGTGTGTGTGGGAATTGTCTCGGAGGCCTGTTTGGGGACTCTTGCGCGAGTCTCTTTGGATCTCTTGGGGATCTACCCGGGCCTTCGGGGGTCTTCTCGGAAGGCCTCTTGCGGCTTCTTCGGGGCCTGCAAGGAGCTTCTTGGGGACTTTTGGAGACATCCGGGGACCTCCTTGGGGCCTCCTGTAAGCCCCTTGGGTTGAACAGCTAGACATGTCTGCTCGTGCCCCCGCCTCCCCCCTCCCCTCTGTGGCCCCTTTTTTTGCACATTCCAGCCGCTCTCTTGGGCCGTCTTCGCTACCCAAGAGGGTCGTTTTGGGCAGTCTTGTGGCCCTCTGGGGGCCTCTTAGGCCACCTGGGGCAATCTTGTCGGCTTTTTTGGGCTTTCTTGGAGTGCCGGCTGCCCGAAACGGGAGAGCGGCCACATGTTATACGCACCGAGGAAGTGTTCCTGGAGTCGCCGTGGTCGTCTAGGAGCCATCTTGGGCGTGAGGCCTTTGGCACGCAAGTGCCACTTACGGACGTACATGTCTGCATGTGCCAGTATACTTGCGTACACACATCTATGAGTATCTATGGGTGCGTGTATGTATGCATGTATGTCTGTCTGTCTGTCTGTCTGCCTGTCTGCCTGTCTGTCTGTCTGTCTGTCTGTCTGCCTCTACGTATGTATGCATGTATGTATGTATGTATGATGCATGCATGCATCTATACATGTATGTAGACATACATACTAATGTTTGCCCATGGATTGCATCCACGGAATTGAGCGGACCGAGGTTTGGTGGCGCACGCTGAATTGTGCGAGGTTGTCAGCTATTGTCGAGGTTCGGTGGAAGCTTGTTCTAGTGTTCTCCCACTGAAAGCGCCCACTCCACTGATGCGGGGGCCGAGGTGTTCGAGCTTCGCGACAGCAAGGAGTTCCGCTCGAATATTCACGCCAGAATATTCACGCCAGGATCGCGGCGGACGCGGGAGCGGACCAGGGCAAACGCGGCGCCGTCTTTAGCCGCGTCGGAGACGTCGGAACGGCGTCGCGGCAGAGTAAGGATCGCAGCGGGGCAGCAGGTTTGGGATTTTGCAAACGCGAAGCTCCGAATCAAGACGTCGCTGCACATGCTGCAAAACATCGCTTCTCTTACTCACCGCTGACCCCGCAGAACGACAAGGCGTCGTCGTCGTCGTCGTCGTCGTCGTCGTCGTCGTCCAGAAGACAGGCGCCCAGGGCGACCGGAGCGTCAAGCGCTGCTGTTTGCGGCCGTGGAGGGCCTCTCGCCTCTTGCCCGCCCCCTTCATTTGGATGCAGAGCTGAAGCTTCCGGGGGGGCCGTGTAGGAGTCCCCGGGGTGCTCTTTCGGGTCTCGTGAGGGCCTCTCGGGGTTCTCTTGGGGGCCGTGTAGGGCGCCTCTGGGAGCGTCTGGGGCCTGTTTGGGGCCATCGTGGGCGCCTTGTGGGCCGCCTTGGGGCCATCTTGGGGTGCCTTAGGGCCTTTCTGGGCCCCAATTGGGGTCCTCTGGGGCCGTCTTGGGCGCCTCTTAGGCCGTTCTCGAGCCGTCGGGGACCATCTCAAGGCCCTCTTGGCGCGATCTTGGGGACCCCTGGGGCCGTCCAGGATCCTTTGAAGAGAAGCGTGTCAACGTTGTCAGTGGGTGTTTTGGAAGTTTCCGGGGCGCCGAAGAGGAATTCTAGACGCTTCGCGTATCCCCACCAGCCCGTCCAGAAACGACGCCCAGGCGAGTAGAGGGTCGTCCTGAGGGGCTTTTCGGCGTCTTGGGCGCCTCGGGGGGGCCTTTGTGGGCCGTTCGGAATCCTCTTTGGGGCCTCCTGGGAGCCTCTTGGGGCCTCTTGGGGCCATCTTGGGGCCTCTGGGAGCACCTTGGGTGCCTCTGGGGGGTCTGTTGGGGCCTCTTGGGGGTCTCTTGGGGGCCTCCTGGGGGCCTCTTGGGGGGCCTCGTGGGGCCATCTTGGGGCCATCCTGCGGCCTCTTGGGGCATCCTGGGGGCCTCTTGCGGCCATCGTGGAAGAAATCGATCAAAGAAGGGGGGTTCCTAAATTTCAGCCCCCCCCCTCAGAAGGCCAAAATTGGGCCGAAACCATAGTACAATCAATCATTTTGGCTTCCTCGCCGAGGCCGTCTTGGGCGCTCCAACGCGCCGCGGAACCCATTGTCCAGGGCAGTGGCGAGGGGGTAGGGGGAGGGGTAAACCCCCCCCCGAACGGGAAGAAGGAGGGGTGGAAGAGGAAACTCCTTAAACCACCGACGCCCAGAGGGCTGGTGGGATTTTGGAACAGCCTTTCGCCGTCTGGGGTGCGTCTCGGGCTGGACATGATTCTGAGAGCTTTGGGGCTGCTGTGGGGCCGCCAGGGTAATTTTCTGATTTTTTGCTGGCCGTTTGGGGGCACTCGTGGAGCTGCTGGGGGGCCGCTTGGGCGCCTCCGGGACCAGGGCCCCGTGCGAACCCGCAAGGCACCTTTTCGACGTTATACGGATGGATACTTGGATCAATGTAGATATAAACGTCAGTGTCTATGTATGGGGGATGCATCGACAGTGTGACCGGGCGAACGTTCCGAATATCTGCAAGTCCTGTCCCCCACACATCCTCACGAGGTGTGCTGGTCCCGCCTTCTGTTTCGAACGAAGTTTCGGGGAGGCTATGAGCATTTCTGTAGCGAAAGCGGGGAGGGGCGATTCCTTCATGTGGGGTACTTTTGGGCTTTGCTGTTCATCGAAGGTGAGTCGGTGGGAGAAGGGGCGGGCGGAGGCCATATCGAGCTGGGAGGAGGCAGGGGGTCAGGGCGGGTGGGGGAAGGGGGGAAGGGGGGAAGATCCTGCGGATGTTGGGACTGGTAGCCAGTAGCTGTCTAGCCGAGCGCCCGTATGGAAACGCGGCACTGCTGTTCATGATGATCAGGCTGAGGACCCTGGTGTGAATCCCCCCAACTACGCAGATGTGCCTGCTAGGATGCCTGGGCCTTCGGCGCGTCCCAGGGCGTCCGCGCCTGCGAAGGGCTACTTCGCCACGGCCAATAGCGACAACTTCGGGCCGCTGAAGGCCTACCTCCAGCTGCTGGACGAGGGCTGCAAGGCTGTAGCAGCCCAGGAACACCACGTCGCGGAATCGGAGGTCCCTCGAGCTGAACGTGATCTTCGAGACCTCGGCTTCCATGGGGTGATCGCCCCTGCGGTCCCCACGGGACAAGGCGGCACCTCGGGGGGTGTGGCCATCGTGATCCCCGCCCACATTGCGGTTGCTCCTGGCCCCGCGCCGCCCCATGGATGGTGCGAGGGCAAGCGGGGCGTGATCAGCGCAGGACGGCTTGCTGCGGCACATGTGTATTGGGGGCCGCTTGGTGGAGTCGTGATCATCTCCGCGTGTTTTGTCACCAGCGCCGGGATGAACCCCCAAAACCAACACCTCCTCCATGTCCTGGCCTTCTACGTCAGCCACGTCATTGCCGAGGGCCTCGACTAGATTGTGATGGGGGACTGCAACATGGTCCCCGAGGTGCTGGACCAGAGGTGGCTGGGGCCTGTCCAAGGCTTCTTGGCAGTGCCTTCGGTCCCCACCTGCACCAAGAGCCTCCCTGGCTCGGCGTTGGATTACGCCGCGTGCAGTCGCAATCTCCTGCCCAGGATGTTGCCACCGCAGGTCGACGAGGCGTCGCCGCTACTTGTGCATGCGGCGGTCAGGTTTCCGATCTTGGCGGGCGACCGAGTGCTGTGGATGCGTGTGCCGCGCGAGCCAGCTGGCTACCGCATCAAGCCAGGCTGTGCCAGGCCGCCGCTCACTGACCACTGGCAGCGGACCGAGAGCATGATCCAGGCTGCCTGCGATGACGGCGGCCTCCAGTGTTGCTGGGACGAGGTGCTCCGTGGCCTGGAGGCCGAGCTGCTGAACCGCGCCGACGTCATGGACGCCAGGGCACCGCGGCGGCATGAGGGACGTGCTGGTGCACCTGAGACGGTTTGGGTTCGGCTGCGCTGGGAGCCCCCCCACCTTCGGATTCGGCCTCCCCCGCAGGTCCACGCTAGGGCCTCGATGGCGCGATGGGCCAAGCACGTGCTGCGGTCGCGAGTGCACCTGACGAGGCTGGTGCGGCTCTACTCGAAGGGCCCTGGACCTCGGGCCTTCGGCACGGCGAAGAAGTTTGCGGAACTCTGCAGGTTCTTCGAGCGCATCGCCAAGGCCCGCCACGTCTGGGAGCACGCCACCATCCATGTGCGCGAGCTCTTCGCCAAGGGCATCATGCTGTTGGTGGAGCATGGCCTGGAGGTCCTGATGTCGCAGATTGTGACGATCTGTAAGGACCACCTCGCCATCCACGCACGTGTCACTTCGGAGCGGTGGCGAGCCTGGGTCAATGTTTTTTCCTTCAGAAAGGAGCAGGTGGCGCGCGTCGCGCGACCAAGGTCCAGGACAGGCTTGAGCTCATGAGCTCCTTCGGCCAGGGCGAGAGCAGGAGGGGCCCATATGTGCGTGCAGATTTGGCGATGGATGAGTGGGGGTCGATCTGGATCAGTGGCGATGCGCGGCGACTTCTTCTGCCGGGGGATACCCACTCGTGGCCTTCGTTGCCTGCGCTCGATGGGCGGCAGCTACGTGAAGCCGCGCTCGCCTTCAGCCGCGGGGCTGCTGCTGGGCAGGGCAACGTGCACCCCCGAGACCTCTGGCACATGTCGTGCCAGGCCTTCGACACCTTGGCGCTCTTGTTCGCGAGGTGCGAGGGCCTCTTCTCGTGGCCTTCGGAGCGCATCGTCAACGCGATGGTCAGAATCCCCATGGAGGACGGGGGGTCTAGGCTGTATGCCTGGCGTCGACCTTGGTCCGAGTGTGGGCGCGAGCTCGACGTCCGCTGTCCCGAGACTGGACCAAGCAGCGCAGGCGCGCTTCCATCTTTGGGCTCTCGAGGGGGTGCTCGCCCATTGGCTCGGCGTTTAGCCGCAACCTGGATGCGGAGATTGCTCACCTCCTGGGCCAGTCCAGCCTGGCGGTCACCCTGGATTTGCACAGGGCCTTCGACGGCGTGCTGCTCGACGCCTTGCTGCGAGAGGGCCGCGCAGGCGACTGTCCGTTGCGGTTGGTCTGGCCGCTGCTATCCTATTTCAGGATGCACAGGACTATTCGGGCGTATGGGTGCTGGTCCAGGTGCGTGGGCGTGGACCAGAGCATCCTGGCGGGCTGCACTCGCAGTGCGGGCTTGCTCACGGTCTTGCTGTATCGCTCCGTCACGAAGCTCCGGAACAATTCTGACGAGGTGTTTCGGCCGCTGGCGCTGATGGGCGACCTCGCGATGCAATGGGTTGGACAGCAGGTCCAGGCAGGTGCCCATGCGCTCAAGGCTGCGTTCATGAGTTCTGTGGAGGATGTGGGGCCCCTAGGCATGACCATTAAGTTGGGCAAGTCAGGATGGCTGGGCGCCGCTCGCTCTGCTGTCCGTGGCTTCGCAAGGGCAGGCCGCGCTCTGCGGTTGCCGCGTCGGAAGGGGGCGCGCAACCTGGGTCATGGCGCCCATGGGCGGGGCGTGGTGCGCACGGTCGCCAAGCGCCGCCTCGCCAAGCTTGGTGCTAGGCAGCCGAGGGTGCTAGCTCTGCGTCGGGTTGCTGGGGATCATCCAGGCCCTGTGGCGGACGGGCCCCCTCTGCGGGCCATGGCGTAGCCGTGGCTGGCGCCACCGATGAGCCGCTCAAGACGCTGAGGCATTCCGCGGTCTCGATCTGCTCGGGCAAGGGGGGCGAGAACAGCGGCTCTTCCGCGATCTTCTTGGCCACGCAGCGGGGCCCGTATTGGGGCCCCATCTTTGATGCGACGGTGGCGCCAGTCACCCGATACTGTGCGCATGTCTTGGGCGGCGAGTTGGTCTTGAGTCAGCTGCGGCGGGCATGGCAGGCCTTCGCGGCCAGCTGGCAGCAGAGTGTCCCGACTTGGCGCGGCGCTCGCGGCCCGCTTGTGGCCACTTGGTTGAGCCTCCGCAGGGTCGGCTGGGACATGAGCTCGAGCCTGCGCTTGCGCGCGGACTTGGGCGAGGTGCTCCACGTCCTGGCTGCGCCGCCAAAGGTCATCGGGCACGTGGTCAAGGCGGGCATCCAGCGCTGGCAAGGGCGACCGATCTTGGCTCATCATGATGAGTGTCCTCCGATCTCATCGGCGCCAGTTTGGATGGGCGGTCCGCATGTACCTTGCTCCTCCGCGTGCTGCCTTTAAAGGTGCGAGAGCAGGGCAACTTCGCAAGCTGTGGTCTGGGTCAGCTTGGGATCCTGCCACGCGTTGGTACATGGGGTACCTCGCCAGCCCCGATTGCCCCTACTGCGAGGGCCCCCCTCCGCGCACGAGGGGCCACCAGTTCCACGAGTGCCCGACCGTCCTGGCGACTGGCTCGCACGAGGACTCCAAGGGCATCGAGCCAATTTCGGAGCAGGCTGCCGAGGTGGGGACCAGGCTCCTGGAGTGGATCCACATCTGATCGGGCTACGCGGACTACGATAGGTTCGACGTCATCACGGGTACCCCGCAGGTGCCCTGCGACGTCTCTGGGGCTGAGCGGCTCCAAGACTGCTATTGGTGGGGCGACTGGGCCTCCGACGTGGGCGACAGGATCACCATCGTGTACCGCGACGGGTCGGGCTATGAGACGGCCTGGCCCGAGCTTGCGTGAGATGCCCCCCCCCCCCCCCCCCTTCGTGCTGCATTCGGACCTCTACTTGGCAGCCGCCAAACGGTGGGTCGGGCAGAGCGTCGCGCGCTGCTGATGGCCATGACGCACATGCCGTGCCTTCGGTTTGCCGTGGCCGACCTGGCGGCCTTGGCGCGGGAGGTCGAGGCCTGGGAGCTCCGCCAGGCGGCCTCTGGCAGTGAGTATGCGGACATCTGGAGGGGCATCTTTGACCTGACGGATGTACGATCTGATGGTGGCCGAGTCCGGCCTGCTGCATGTTGGTGTCCTGCGCGCCTCGACCTCGAGAAGTTCGCCCAGTTGGGGAACGTCGCCGAATACTTCTTTGGCAACCAGTGGACGGATTTCTTCGCCAAAGGTGGGTGGGCGATGGCGCAGGCTGCCCTCCACCCTGCTGGGCCTGTACAAGGTGGGGCTCAGTGACGCTGTGTGTGTGTGTGTGTGTGTGTGTGTGTGTGTGTGTGTGTGTGTGTGTGTGTGTGTGTGTGTGGGGGGGGGGTGGGAGGGGGGGGCGAAGGCCTTCGCCTGGCTGATGGCGGCGGTCGGTGGGCACGCCGACTCCGCTAGCATGCTTGTGCCTCCCCGTGTCCGCCCTGCGGCGGGGGCCCGACCTGTGCAGTTTGTCGAGTCTCGGCGCGACCTGGAGCGCCTCGGGGGCACCGTGCGGTGCAGGAGGTGCGGCGCGACGGCAGCCGCTGCCGCCAGCAGGGCCCGTGTGTCCTCTTGCACCTGCGTGCCCACCCGTTTGCAGGAGATGATGGTTCGTGCCCGAGCCCGTCTCCCCTACTCGACCTCCGCCGCCCCGCTCCCCTCTGCGCGAGAAGGGGCCATCAGCGTCGCCCTCCGAGCCGCTGACCGCTTTCTGGCTTCCGTGGGAGATGATGCGGATGCGCCATCGGCGGCTGTGAGACCGGGGATTCCTGGGCCCGCCGAGCCCACGGGCTGTGCGGGCGGGGACCCCCTGTGGTGGACACGTGGTCCGACAGCGAGGTCCCCTTTGGGGAGCAGGCCTCGTTAGCTTGCTCAGGCGCTCCGTCGGCCGCGAGACCCTGGATTCGTGGCCCTGCCGAGCCTGTTGGCCGCGCGGGCGGGGACCCCCTTGTGGAGGACGTTGGGTCCGACAGGGGGGTCCCCTCAGGGGAGCAGGCCTCGGTGGCCTGCTCGGGCCCCGTCAGGCTCTTGCGGGACTTTGGAACCCCCGAGGCTCAGTTTGTACTTTTCCGTGGCCACCATTTGGTCACCGAATTGCCTTATGTGTACTGTCTGCGATGTGGTGGATCAGCCTCCACACGACAGTCGCCAACCTTGTTATGTGAGTGCCTGGGTCCGTATCAAAATGACGGCTCTGGCTAATCTCCAGGGCTCCCGCCACCCTCGGACGGGGGTCCACATCGGCGGGCAAAAGGCCGCGTGGGTCCAGAGGGGTAACCATACAGTGTAATACGTGGCTCTCTTGGGGGCGGGGCTTAGCCGCGCCTGTCAACTGAGCCACTGGATGGTCTGATCCTCCTCCTCCTCCTCCTCCTCTCCTCCTCCTCCTCCTCCTCCCTCCTCCTCCTCCTCTCCTCCTCCTCTCCTCCTCCTCCTCCTCCTCCTCCTCCTCCTCCTCCTCCTCCTCCTCCTCCTCCTCCTCCTCCTCCTCCTCCTCCTCCCCCTCCTCGAGGACCCCGCCCCTGCTGCTCCCCCTCCCCCTCCGGCGCCACGGCGCCACCGCTCCGTTCCCACAGGGGGCCGCGCTCTGGCGCATGCGTGGGCGTCTGTCCGCGCGTCCGTCCTGCCCCTCTTCGACCGTCGGGCCCACGGGAGCGCCGCAGAGGAACGG